TACAACAAAGGGTCAATATACAAAAAAACAGGGCCCAATTCCAACAACAGGTAAATTTAATAACCATCGGGGGGTCAATAAACAAAAAACACAGGTCAATATAAAAAACAAGGTAATATACAAAAACCAGGGTCAATATACAAAAAAACGGGGTTCAATATAAAAACAAACGGGAAAATAAAACAAAAACAGGTCAATTTTAAACAACAGGGTCAATAAAAACAACACGGTCAATATAAAACCCAAACCCCGGGTCAATATCCCACAACACGGGTAAATATACAAAAAACCCGGGCCCAAAAATTTCAACAACCGGGTAAATTTAAAAACCAAAGGTCAATTACAACAAACGGGTTAAATATACAAAAACCGGGTAATATCCCAAAAAACACGGGCCCAATAAAACAAAAACCCGGGGTAATTACAACAAAAAGGGTACTAAAAAACAAGGGGGTTTCAAAATACAAAAAAAAAGGTCAATATAAACAACAAAAGGCCCCTATAAAACCACGGGTCAATATACAACAACACAGGTCAATATCCAACAACAGGGTCAATATACAAAAAAAGGGTTTAAATATAAACAACAGGGTAATATAAAACATAAGGGGTTTCAATTTTCAAAAACCGGAAAAATTTTAAAACAACAGGGGTCAATAAAACAACAACTGGGTCAATATACAACAAGGGGGTTTTAAATATCAAACAAAAGGGGTAAATATACAACAAAAACGGGGTCAATATACAAAAAACAGGGGTTCAATAAAACCAAAAAAAGGGTCAAAAACCCACAACAGGGGTTAAATCCAACAACACAGGGTAAATATACAACAACCGGGTCAATAAACAAAAAACAGGGGTCAATAAAAAACAACAGGTCAATATAAAACAAAGGGGTTAAATTTATAAACCCACCGGGGCCCAAAACAAAAACCCGGGTCAAATACAAAAAACCGGGAAAATAAAACCAAAACCCAGGGGTAATATACAACAAAAACGGGTACTATAAAACCCAAACGGTCAATATAAAACAACACAGGTCAATAAAAAAACAAAAGGTCAATATATAACAACAAGGTCAATATAAAACAACCAGGTAAATATACAACAACGGGTCAATAAACAAAAACCCCGGGGTTTCAATATAAAACCAACACGGGTCAATATACAACATACGGGTCAATATTCAACAAAAGGCCCAATAAAAACAAAAAGGGGTAAATATACAACAAAAAAGGGGTTCAATATACAACAAACGGGTCAATTTTAAACAAACGGAAATATACAAAAAACAGGCCCAATATACAAAACCCATGGGTAAATTTAAAAAAAAACCAGGTCAATACCCAAAAAAAAAGGGGTCAATTTACACCAACCCCTTTTCAATAAAAAACAACACGGTCAAAATACAACAACACGGGGTAAATTATACAACAAAAAAGGTCAATATACAAAAAAACGGGTCAATATCAAAAAACACGGGCCCAATATAAACCCAAAACGGGTAAATAAAACAACAACAGGGGGCCCAATATACAACAAAGGGTAAATATACAACAAAAAGGGTAAATTACAACAACCAGGTAAATATACAAAAAAAAGGGTCAATTAAAACAACACGGGGTCAATTTCAACAACACGGGTCAATATACAAAAACACGGGTCAATATACAACTTCAGGGCCAATAAAACATAGGGGCAATAAAACAACAACCCCGGGTTTCAATAAAACAACAAAAAGGGTAAAATATAAAAAAAACAGGGGTCAATATCAACAACAGGGTCAATATCCAACACGGGTCAATTTAAAACAACAAGGTCTTTATAAAACCCAAAGGGGCCCAATATACAACAACACAGGTCAAATAAACAACACGGGTAAATTTTACAACAAAAAGGCAATATAAAAACAACACGGGTCAATATACAAAAAACACAGGCAATATACAAAACCCGGGGGTTTCAAAATAAACAACACGGGTCAATTTTACAACAACGGGGGGTCAATAAAACAACAACACGGGTCATATAAAAAACCAAAGGTCAAATAAAACAAAAAGGGTTCAATAAAAAAACCAGGCAATTACAAAAACACGGGTTCAATAAAAACAACACGGGCAATATACAACAACCGGTAATATACAAAAACAGGTCTTTTAACAAACAGGGTCAATATACAAAAAACACGGGTAAATATACAAAAAAAAAGGGGTCAATAAAATTTCACGGGTAATATCAAAAACACGGGGAATATACAACAACAGGGTCAATATACAACAAAGGGTAAATATCCACAACACGGGTCAATATACAACAAAAAGGGGGAAACTATACAACAACACGGGTCAATATACAACAAATGGGAAATATACAAAAAACACGGGTAAAATTTTACAACAACCCCGGGCAATATAAACAAACAGGTCAATTTTAAAACAACACAGGTCAAATCCAACAACACGGGTCAAAAACCCAACAAAAAAAGGTCAATAAAACAACAACAGGGTAAAATATACAAAAAAACACAATTAAAAAATAACAAACGGGTCAATATAAAAACCCCAGGGGTTCAATATAAACAAAGGGGTTCAATTTTAAAAACAAAAAGGGTAAATTATAAAAACAACACGGGTTCAATATACAAAAAACCGGGGTAAATATAAAAAACAAGGTAAATATACAACAACAAGGTCAATTTACAACAAAGGGGAAAATTATACAACAAAGGGTCAATATACAAAAACCACAGGTCAAATAAACAACACGGCCCAATTAAACAACAACACGGGTCAATAAACAACAACAGGTCAATATTCAACAACCCCGGCATAAAAAAAAAGGGGTCAATATACAAAAAACACAGGCTTTATCCCAACAACAGGGGTTTCAATATAAAAAACCCAGGGTCAATAAAACAAAAACCCGGGGGCCAATTACAACAACCCCAGGTCAATATACAAAAAAAACAGGGGTCAATAAAAACAAATGGGTCAAAAACAACAACACAGGTCAATAAAACAACAACAGGGGTAAATTCAAAAAACCCCGGGCCCAATAAAACAACACAGGAAATAAAAAACAACAAGGTATATAAAACCCAACCCGGGTAATATAAAACAACACAGGAAAATATACAAAAACACAGGCAATAACAACACACAGGTCAATATACAAAAAACATGGGTCAATATAAAAAAAACCAAGTCAATAAAACAAAAAAAAAGGGTCAATATACAGCAAACAGGTCAATATACAAAAACAGGTAAATTAAAAACCCATAAACGGGTAAAATAAAATATCCCAGGTCAATATACATCCCCGTTAAATAAAACAACAACACGGGTTTTAAAATAAAACAAAACAGGTCGTATACAACATCGCGGGTTTCCTTATCAAAAACCACGGCCCGTTTTAAAAAACATCACAGGTCAATATAAAAAACACAGGTCAATATACAAAAACCACAGGTCAGTATACAACATCCAGGTTTAAAAATAAAAACACAGGTCAGAATACTCACGGTAAAATATACAACACACGGAAGTATAAAACCACCGGTCGGTATACAAAAAACCAAATCAATTCAATTTCAATATAAATAACACAGGTCTTTATACAACTCCCCGGCAATTACAACACGGGTTCATTATACAAAATCGGGGTAAAAAAAAATATTCTTGTACTTAAAAATTCGAAATAAAATTTAAAAAAGACTGAGTTTGGTTTTAGGTGTTTTTTAAATTTTTATGGGGTTAATTTTTAATTCTTTGTTTTTAAAGACGGATTTTTAAGAATTTCTTTTATTATTGAAGGGTTTTTTTGTAGGATAATTTAGAGGGGGTGACTTTTTTTTGGTTTTCCAAAACCCCCCCCCCCCCCAAACTTAAGTTAATCCCAGACATGTTAGAGTTTTTTTATTTCCTTCTGTTTGTTTTTAGAAAATTTGGCTTGATCCCCCCTCCTTAGCGAGTTTTTCCGTGAGGAAAATGCGGGCAGAGTATCGTTTTTTTTTTTGTGCGTCAAAAGATGTCTTGAGCGAGGTTTTGTGAACGAGAGTTTGCATACAACTTTTTCGAAGAGTTACAGCCTTCCCCCTCATTACAACGGAGTTCCCTTCCCTAAGACCTGTGGGTAAAAAAATTTGTCGGTAAGAAAGGAGCATAAAAAAGGGTTAGTGGGTTTGTTTAAACCATTTTTGATATTTTTTTTAATGTCACTTTCACCTTTTATAGTTTTTTTTGGTATATACAGTGTGTACTTATATTGTAAAAGAGAAATAGAGGAAATCAGCTCAACAAAAATACTGCTATTAATATGGCAAGAGCCTGTCTAACCCGAGTCGTCGGAAAAACGACTAGTCGTAGTGGGGGAAAGGTATATAGGTGTGTGTGGTATACATGTTTATATATACATCTTGTGATGGTTGTTTAATTACCAAAATATTTAAAAATTTATTTGGAGGATGCTGTTTAAAAAAAAAAAAAGGTTGTGTCGGGGCTTGGATTTTTTTTTTTTGTGTTGTGTTTTTCAATTGTTTCTTCCTTCGCAGTGACTTTGCCCTTTAAGCAGTAGTGACCAGCTTACAGATTTATTGTCTTGGCTTTTTCTGTGCAATAACACAATTTTCTTATTGATATAAAATGCCTTTTTAGTGTTTATTTTGTTTAAAAATTTTTTCTTTTGAAAGATAACATGTAAGAAAAAAATAAAACCTTCATGTAGTAACTAAAAATTTTTTGCTCAAATATTATACATAAAGAAAATTTTTTTCCCCTTGGCTGTTATTTTTTTTGTAAAATCACGAGAATATTTAAAGAACTTTATAAACAGGTGAAAAACCAAGTACTTGAAGAACTCAATATATTGTATACAATCATCTAGTCCTCCTGACGTGGTTTTTTTTCTAACAAACTCATGAGGAACTTGGTGCGTTTGTACGTCATGTAGAACAGAGGAAAGGGTGAGAACCCGGGGTCACCCAAAACGATTCAACGGACAAGAAGATATTGGCCTTCCGCTGCGAGTGGTCGAGATTCTCAAGAACTCAGGGATGAACAACTCCACGGCGACCAGCACTGGTCAAGGTATTCTGCCTCGCGGTAGTAAGTTATCAACGTCCCTTCGTCTGCGTCCACGCCTGCCTCTTCCCCTGTCCAGTGTCCGACCCCAGGAGGGTGGCTGTGCTGCCATCCACCCTCAGGAAGGACCTTATGGCAGGTCCTCAAGAGTAGTTTTGTTTATCAAAACTCGAGTGTATCCCCAGTGTGCTGCTTCACACTGGTTGAAGCACCAGCGACTACCTTATTCTGTATAAGAATTACACAGTGTTAACAAAAGCTATAGTTACAGTATCATACACATGACTGGCTGCATTTATCAAGTATTGAAATGTGTAAAGCTGAGATGGGTGACTTCAGTAATGCGATAAGGATATCATCAAGTACAGTATTTCACTTTGGGTTCAGTAGATGTGAGTTAAAAGCGGGACGTTAAAGATAACTAGTATTGTAGCCTGTAAAACAGTTAAACCCAATTTTAAGATTGTGTTGAAGGATTCCCGGTGGTTTATGCCTGCTGTATGACCTATGACTCAAGAAATCGTAATGACACGATTGCAAACAAACCATACCCCCGGTCGGGATTGAACCCGCGGTCATAGAGTCTCAAAACTCCAGCCCGTGGCGTTAGCCACTAGACCAGCTAGCCACAATAAGATTCATCCAACTAGGTATATTTCTACACCATAGGAAGGTTAGCACAGACACCACTGTGACCACAAATGCAACGGGCTGGAGTTTTGAGACTCTATGACCGCGGGTTCAATCCCGGCCGGGGGTATGGTATGACCTATGCTTTATCTGCTTGTGCATGGGGGGTTCAGGTCACTCTTATGGTGTTCCTATTGTACAGTGAAACTTATGTGGGTTTTCCATTACATTAGTCCTGTAGTCAATCTTGGCTAATTTGCGAGGTGAAGCTGATTAGGTAATTTGTGTATTAAAAGTCACTACACAGACATACCAGAAAAATCATATCATCGATATGAGCATACAGGAACCATACAGACATTTATTTCAGAAGTTAGCGAAGCTTAAATTTTCGAACATTCACTGAGCAGTTTCAAATCCTGTACCATTATTTTTTTATGTAACCAAAGGAGCAGTGATCTCGCCTCACTCAGTGAAGGTTATGTGCTGCATCTTACAAATACACGGATAATGTAGCTTACGTGTAACAAAATATTGTTAGTCACAAAAAAGGGCCTCTAGCGCTGTGTGTGTCTCAACCGTACCGGACATAATTACTTCTTGGACAGTTGATAAGCAGCAGGTAACGTACAGTGCCACACCTGAGCTTGACATGTGGACCATGGGAGAAGCAGCTGCCATGAACGGCCACACAGCCACCCTCCTCGGCTGCCACACACACTCAAAGCCTGCAGTGTTTGTGCTGTTTGATAGTACTGCCAAACACAGGGCCTGGTGAGTGCGTTGGCTGGGTGAACACTTCTTCACAGTATGTAAGTTTCTGCCCTTCCTTCCCCTATCATCTGTCCTTAGATCTAGGGTGTTGTTGTGATCTGATGAAAATTGGTAACAGTGACGGACCTCTAGAGGAGCTAGCATCTAGTACTTGCACCACCCCAGTAGGATCCCAAGAGCGTCCTCGTAGGATAAACTACCTGCTTAACTGCTTGCTTGTAACAGCATGGATGATTGCCTTGTTCTGCATCCTCAGGTCCTACCCACATTACCAGTTACCTTTACTGTAATACTTGCCCTGATTCTCAATCACCAGTGCCTTAACACCTGCCACAATGATGAATTAACTGTACTATAAAAAGAAGTTTGTATTTCAACATCAGTTTCCACTCCCTGGTGTTCCCTGTGCAGCCAGACTACATCACACACAAAACACCTATGACCTCATGTGCTTTCCTAACATTTTGTCCTATTTACATTTTCCACATGATATTTTTCCTATAGTAACCCGTAGCTGCTTCCACCCAGGGGTTTTACGAGCCTTTTTTTTTTTTAGTAGTTTTCTTTTTTTTGGCAACAGTAGTCCCACAGACCGGGGGCTACCACCCCAGCTTTTTACAAAAAAAATTTTAAAGGAGGTAAAAAAACTGGTCCAAAAGTTGCGTTGGGAAAATCCTTACGTTTTCTTGACACTAACAAAAAAAAATATATAAAAAGGGCTTTTATGTCTTTTTCATCCACCAGAAGAAAAACTTCTGTAACAAATACTCACCCTGCCAATGTAAAAGTAACATCAGTGGTTCTTTTTCTGAGCCAATTTTAGAAAGGTACATTTTGCACCACTAGCGATTTTTTACAAGAATTCCAAAACTGAAACAAAAACGGGGACAATAATTTGACCCTTTCCCAAAGAAAAAAAACATTTCCCAATTAAATTTTGTTTTCGTATTTTATTTTTTTGAACCCATTCCACCCTAAATATACTTTTTAACTTTTTTTTTTTGAAAGATTTCAAAATAAATTCCCTAAGGTTAGAGACAAAAAAAAACGCAAAAAAAACTGAGAGTTTGAAACGGGAGGGGGAAATTTTTTTTAAACTATTAATTATACCCAAAAAGGTTGTGTCAAAATTTTGTAGAAAGTAATCCTAAAACGAGAGTTCTGTACCCATTTGGGTTTTTCTTTGCCTCTCACAACGGGAAACAACAACACTTAAAAAAAGAAATAGTCTGGGAGCATCTTTCATACTTTCCCTTTTTCCTTTTCCCTTTAAAAACTCCCGTCTCACCTGCACAACCCTTTTAAATGCATGCATGCACGCACGCAAACACGCAAGATGAAATGGGACGCACTTTCATCTGCAGTAAATATACTGGGGAAATCAATTTTATAAATCCGAACATTAAAAAAACAAAACACAACAGGGGACTCGACCCCTGTAAAACCCCCCAAAAAAAGGGAATACAAATTGGTGAGTAAAACAAAAAATTTCGAGTATCTATGGAAAAAAATTAACCAAGGGGCGGTTAATTTTCGGTTTTGTACCTGGTCACTAAGATACATGTCACCCCGTTCCCCCCAGGTCCCAAAAAAAAATTTTTAAACCTTTTAAAAAGTCATTAATTTCCCCATATATATATATATATATATATATTTTTATTTTATATATTTATTTTTATAATTATATATATTTATATATTATTATATATATATATATTATATATATAATATTTTATATATATATATATAAAATATAAATATATATTTATTTTATATTTTTATATAAATATAATATATATATATTAATATATATATATGCAATTTAAAATCACAGTTTTAAAAATGTGATTTCAGAATATGCCCAAAAAAAACCCTGTGAAAAAAAGAGAAAAATTTCCCAAACGCTTTCGTTTAAACTCACATTATCATTGTTCCTTGATAATGTGAGTAGTCACGAAAGTGCTTGGAATTTCTCTATTCTTTCACAGTGGCTGTTTTGCATATATATATATATATATATATATATATATATATATATATATATATATATTATATATATATATATATATTATATATATATATATATATATATATATATATATATATATTTATTTATATTATATATATGCAATAAGATCACAGTAAACAGGTGATTTCAGAATATGCAAAACAACCACTCTGAAAGAATAGAGAAATTCCAAGCGCTTTCGTGACTACTCACATTATCAAGGAACTTGGTAATGTGAGTAGTCACGAAAGCGCTTGGAATTTCTCTATTCTTTCAGAGTGGTTGTTTTGCATATATATATATATATATATATATATATATATATATATATATATATTATATAATATATATATATATAATATATATATATATATATATATATAATATATATATATAATATAATATATATATATATATATATATATATATATATAGGGCAATGAGGAACAACATCTTGCAGGAGTGAGGAAGAGCCAGTTGTGAGTGTGGGGGAAGTTCGTGAGGCAGTAGGTAAAATGAAAGGGGGTAAGGCAGCCGGGATTGATGAGATAAAGATAGAAATGTTAAAAGCAGGTGGGATATAGTTTTGGAGTGGTTGGTGCAATTATTTTATAAATGTATGGAAGAGGGTAAGGTACCTAGGGATTGGCAGAGAGCATGCATAGTTCCTTTGTATAAAGGCAAAGGGGATAAAAGAGGTGCAAAAATTATAGGGGGATAAGTCTGCTGAGTATACCTGGTAAAGTGTATGGTAGAGTTATTATTGAAAGAATTAAGAGTAAGACGGAGAATAGGATAGCAGATAAACAAGGAGGCTTTAGGAAAGGTAGGGGGTGTGTGGACCAGATGTTTGCAGTGAAACATATAAGTGAACAGTATTTAGATAAGGCTAAAGAGGTCTTTGTGGCATTTATGGATTTGGAAAATGCGTATGACAGGGTGGATAGGGGGGCAATGTGGCAGATGTTGCAAGTGTATGGTGTAGGAGGTAGGTTACTGAAGGCAGTGAAAAGTGTTTACGAGGATAGTGAGGCTCAAGTTAGAGTATGTAGGAAAGAGGGAAATTATTTCCCAGTAAAAGTAGGCCTTAGACAAGGATGTGTGATGTCACCGTGGTTGTTTAATATATTTATAGATGGGGTTGTAAGAGAAGTAAATGCGAGGGTCTTGGCAAGAGGCGTGGAGTTAAAAGATAAAGAATCACACACACAAAGTGGGAGTTGTCACAGCTGCTCTTTGCTGATGACACTGTGCTCTTGGGAGATTCTGAAGAGAAGTTGCAGAGATTGGTGGATGAATTTGGTAGGGTGTGCAAAAGAAGAAAATTAAAGGTGAATACAGGAAAGAGTAAGGTTATGAGGATAACAAAAAGATTAGGTGATGAAAGATTGAATATCAGATTGGAGGGAGAGAGTATGGAGGAGGTAAATGTATTCAGATACTTGGGAGTGGACGTGTCAGCGGATGGGTCTATGAAAGATAAGGTGAATCATAGAATTGATGAGGGGAAAAGAGTGAGTGGTGCACATAGGAGTCTGTGGAGACAAAGAACTTTGTCCTTGGAGGCAAAGAGGGGAATGTATGAAAGTATAGT